TTGATGTGATACGTGCATGAGTGTCCTAGTGCACAAGCAATCTTAAAAATTTAAAATGCTAAACATTCCTCCTACTAGAGGTCAGAAACTCTACGTTGTAGCATACCTTTACATCTGAAATTGAATTTAGAAGCACAGATAAAGGCAAGAAAAGGCAAATGTACCTGTGTAGTACCTTTCAACAATGAGGCCATTAGAAGTGCTTTAATTAAGACATGAAGGCATCATGTCAAGATATAAAAGAAACACAAGGCAATATAAAAGGACAGCATAAAAAAGACATACGTAAATAGGATATTAAAGAGGTGGTAGTATGCTTGGTGACTTTTTCCCTCCCCTTTATTGAGTTATATACCTTTTTTGTGCATGTAATAGGTTTGCAAAGTGAAAAAGCCCAAAGTCCACCCCAAAGGGAATTCCCATCTCCCACAGAAAACACTGCTCTGAACTGCCTGAAAACAGCTCGTTTGTAGTCCAGCCTTTACTTCCCTTTCTTGTGATGTCACAAGAAAATACGTGTCATAATGCTTGCCTGACACGCCCTCAAAAACACCGGTGGAAAAACACTGAGCTGCAGCACACCTCTCCTCTCCCTTCCAAGCACTAGCTACCCTCCAGGCAGTCAATGGACATGAAGTTGTTACTGTGATGTAGAGACAGAGCTCAGTTAAAACTTTTGTTACAGATTAATAACTCACCACTCTGAAACTCTTGCTCCAGTCCATATTGCCAAGTTGGTCAGCAACATGTAGCCTACAGCTGAATCAAAGCTGTTTACCGTCTTTTGGCTGACCCGCCTTTCTCTGCTTCTGATTGGCTATTACTGGCCTTTCGCTGACCTGCCCTTCTCTGCTTCTGATTGGCTAGTAGTCCTTAACTAGGAACTGCGCATGTGCAACTCTCAACAAAGATCATTTAGAGATAAGATGTATCACTCCATAGCTAAAACGAAGCCTTCAATACAGGGTGAAAAGAGGAGCTGCAGCAATGTGCAGTATGACAAAAAATATGGTGTTTTTTTGAAAATTAAACCATGTAAACCTGTTCTGGTACAACCTCTAAATAGGATTTTGAACCTGAAAATGAGCATAATACCACCTCTTTAAAGGATTAAAAGTAAAATAGAAGAAATCTAAATCTAAATGCAGGGAAGTTAAGAAGCAAAAGTTAACTTGACGACCTCTTTTACAGATCATATATATATTTCTCTCCATGCGTTAGATTTGCATATTTTTCAGGCAAGGCTTACCCTGTCAGCACCAATGAAAACCTGCATATAAAACTGCAATTACAGAATTTAATACACACACTAAGACACAATAAGAAAGAGTATGAAAAATGGTGGTTATATTATTATTATTATTATATTGATAACTGAGGATTAACTTTTGAAGATTTCCATAGGTATAGTATAAGACTATAGACTATAAATCTGCTGCGCTTTACTTCTCACATTCACTTTTTTTTTATACTAACTACTTTAATTAAAATGCAGAATTGATGAGACCAGATGAGAGCAGCTGTCTGCTGTTGTCTCTGGAGATGCTAAAACGGCCTCAAACTGACGTGAGGAGGCGTTCATTCCTGCCAGAATATTTCTTTCAAGTTACAGCATGTTGGTCTGACTCAAATCAATCTTGTTGGATTTGTTATAGACGAGCTCATTTGAAAGTTGGCCGGAGGCATTCATTAAAAAAAATGAAGTCTTAATGATATCACCAAACAAAATGTGATGTGAATGATTCATTTCTCGTTATAGATCTGTGATATAGAGCGCAGTAACCATGAAGCACAGATTGGACATACACTGACCATCATTACAATGAGAGTAGAGGCCTCTTCACTATTGTATCTATGTTTCTTAGTCTCTCTCCAAACTTGCCTCAACGCTTGCATTGCTCCTCTGAGCGATGTGTGAGTTTCATCAGCAAGCAGTTTTGTGTCTTTATGGGATTTGGTTCCTCTGTTTAGTCTGCCAATTCCTGCCTTTTTACTTGCTCTTTCAGGTCTAAATTTCTGTTTCTGACAATTTCTGTCTATCATCCGCCTCCCTTGAGTCATGCTGAGGATATAAATTATGGTCTTCTGGCTGGTTTAATAACTTTCAGCTCAAAACTAGACTCAAAAACTCTTGAAAAATCCTGTCTCTCCTCTTCTCACGCTCTCTTTCACACACACACACACAGTTAATTAAGCGGCAGCACCATGATGTACCTGATTCTCTTGCTCTTCACACAGTGATAGGTCAGCCTTATCTTTGCCATATCACTTTATTGTTTTAGCCTCCTGTTCTTTATCTACTTGTGTTTGTGTGTGGGGGGGGGGGAGAGAAATATCACTGGGACATTGTATGTGTGCGTGGTCATGCGCATGCATGTGTGTATGTGTGCATGGCAGGGGCCTGTCATCATGGCTTGGCTGTATTCTACAGTGCATGTGTCTCCAGTATGTTAGTGATGCTACTGGAGACCCAGCTCTGTTGGAATAACAACCAGGACCCACTGCAACACTAACAGCCTCCCCCTGGCCATGCTGTGTTTGTGTGTAGGTGTGTGTGTGTAGGTGTGTGTGTGTAGGTGTGTGTGTGTATCGTCTCTGTCTGTCTTTTTCTCAGACACTCAGGCGGACAAACTGATTAAATCTTTACATTTGTCCCTCTTCACTCCTCTCTCCCTTTAGCGACTGACAACTGGCAAAAATCAATCCAAATCAGTAATTCACTTAAGTCAAATGTTAAAGAGTGAACAGCCAATAGTAAGTCCCTCATCGACTTAAACATCCGAAACATCCACGGTTGAACATACAGCAGGTGAGGGATTGAGCAAGCTAGTGATTTGCCTGTTACAGCATGTAAATAGTTACATAAAAATCTATAGGCACAAGGGAGGATGCCTTTAATCATCTGCAAGTGTGGTGTCATTACCCTTCATCCTCTCGCTGTTAGATCAAGGTCGAGCAGTAAACCTTTTGCAATGCAGATTGGCTTGATTCACGGAGTCAGACGGCTCTGTGAACAATACAGGAGATAAGAAATAGAGGAGTTAGCCTAAAGGCTCCAATTAGCTCCTTATACTAATCCTCCCAGTCGAGTCTTTAGCTAAGATAGGTCTTTATCTAATGTGGACAATTTACAATATTAATATTCAGCTAACTTGCTTATCTAAAATCTGATTCTCAAATGAATGTTACCTTCAATACTTTCATGAGTGCAATCAACCACTAAGCAATGTCAGTCATGTTTGCTAACCAGGTTTATAGGTTTTCTCAGTACATGTTAATTTAGAGTCTTTAAACCTCAACAGAATTTAGGGCATATCAAAGCATATGACCACAGAATAATCTGTTGGAACATTTTGTCCTCATGTCTTTAGATAGTCCTGTGTTAGAAACTTTACTGATAGTAAACTTCAAAGGTGTTGTGTGTCCTTTTAAAAATAACAATGTTTCATGTAGCTGTGGTAAAGTGGCAGAATTCTTTATTGATGGTGAAGGAAGAGGGTCAGAGAAAGAATATAAAGGTATATAATTTCCTTTGATAATGATTACAGTTTTGATCTTCCACAGGAGACGAATGAGAGTGTTTTATTCTGATTGTCATGGCTAGTTTTCCCCAAAATACGACTCGTGAGTCATGCATGTAACATCGGCTGATCAGCATCTGATCCAAGTAAACAACAGTCATTCACCTTTTCCTGCAAGGCCATCCAAAGTGGTTGAATAACAACAAGAATAATAATAACAAAATGGAGACGGAAATAACAATTATCATTGTTGTCATGCTGTTTCTCCATATTGTGATTTTGATTGTTATTTTTGTGTACTCTGTACACACAACATCTGTCGCATGTCTGTTCTTCCTGGAAGACGGGTCCCTCTTCTGTTGCTCCTCATTAAATTTCCCCCATTTTTGTCAGTTTTTAGGGGGTATTTTTTCATTTATCTGAATTGAGGGTTTAAGGATAGAGGGTATTTTATGTTGTACAGACTTTGGAGCACTTTGAAGCAAATTTCTGGGCTACAGAAATAACATTTACTTGACTTGAGCAAACTCCATCCGTTGATGAAGGTCATGAAATGTGGTTAGAGATGCTTAAGATTTTCTAGTAAGTGGAACTTATCAGATATAAAATATGAGCAGGAAATTAGGCTGTTTCTAGCCCATCTCAAATTAAGGTCCTACAAAAGACAGTAGTTGTCTGTTAACTGGTTGTTGTGGCTTCCCCACTATACCACCCTTGCCTCCTGTTTTTTCTCCTTGTTTGTCAAATATATTTGCAGTAGCATTTTACTTCATGCATATTCCATATCTCACTGGTGTGCTCCTCAGGGGCTCAAATCTGCTTCCTGCTGAACCTTTCACATGCTGTTTCTGGATTCACATGAAGAGCCCCTCAGGGAGCTGATCCCGCACCACCAAATACATCTATGCTATCACCATTAGAGAGCAAAAATACAGTTAACATGAGACCCGACTAGCAGAGCTGGGTCAAATAGGTGTGGGAAATGAGTTTGTTTTAATCAGTTTGAAATACTAGAGCATATAATAAATGAATACAAATTAATGTTCTATGTGCCCAAAAAAATCCAGCTCGCCACGCAGCCAAAGCAGCCTAAAATAAACCTTACAAAGAATGTGCAAATTATTATCCTAGTTCTGCTCCATAGGAAATTTCCTCAACATTACAGAGAGCTGATTTTGCTTTATACTGCTAGCTACGACTCTTTCCATGTAGACTTAATTAAGCTATTCAGTGAGTTGTCCTCCTGGAGTTATACTCCAAATGGCAACTCCTTTCTATTAACTCTGATTTATGACTTCTGTAGTTCCGGACAATGATGGAATTAAAGGGTAAACTTTTGCCCTGTGTTATTGTTTTTCTTTACCTACATTTATTAACAGGCTGCCATTTTCTTCTTCAACAGCCATGTCCTGCTTCACTATAATCTCCTTTCCATACCATTGTACTTATAGACTGACCATTACCTTCTCTGCTTTTCAGAACCAGAATCTGCTTTATTGCCAGGTATGTGTACACATACGAGGAATTGGACTTAGGATTGTACATTGCTCACGATCTGCTTACTCATACAAAAATACCATAACACAATAATAAAATAATAATAAAATAAAATCAGACACAAACTACAGTATAGACAACACTAACATACACACTATGAACAAAACAATATAGACATATTGACAAATAGTGCAGTGATCAGAGTGCAAAGGATGCAAGAGTAAACTATTATTCTCATTATGTCTGTTGAAGGTGGATATGATATACAGGTACACATACACATACATGCATACATGCACACATGTACACAGTGTGATGGAACATAGTGCAAAGGATGCCAGAAAAAATAGGTGTATTGGTATACAGTATGTACAATGACATAGTATGAACAGCACTGAAATAGAGAATGGTGAATAAATAAATAATAAGTGGAAACCAGTAAACAGGTGGCTGATTAGAGACAGAGTTACTGGGTTATTCCACAGGAATTGTTCCTGACACTGTGAGTCAGAAATCAGCTGTTCATCAGAGTGATGGCTTGTGGGAAGAAACTGCTTCTGTGTCTGTTGGTTTTGGCGTACAGTGCTCTGTAGCACCTACCAGAGGGGAGGAGCTGCAACAGGTTGTGTCCGGGGTGAGATGGATCTGCAGTGATGTTTCCTGCCCGTTTCCTGACTCTGGAAATGTATAAGTCCTGAATGGAGGGCAGGTTGACACCGATTATTTTTTTCTGCAGTCCTGACTGTCCATTGTAGTCTGCTCCTGTCCTTTTTGCTGACAGATCCAAACCAGACAGTGATGGAGGTGCAGAGAACAGACTGGATGATGGCTGTGTAGAACTGGATCAGCAGCTCCTTAGGCAGGTTGAGCTTCCTGAGCTGATGCAAGAAGGTCCTCTGCTGGGCCTTCTTGATGATCGTGTCAGTGTTGGGCTCCCACTTCAGGTCCTGGGATATAGTGGAACCCAGAAACCTGAAGGATTCCACAGCAGACACAGGGCTGTTGAGTATGGTGATGGGGGGCAGAGTAGGGGGGCTCCTCCTGAAGTCCACGGTCATCTCCACAGTTTTGAGCATGTTAAGCTCCAGGTTGTTCTGACCGCACCAGAGAGCCAGCTGATCAACCTCCCGTCTGACAGATGGGTCTCCTGAGGTGCAGTCGTTGGTGTAGAGGGAGAAGAGCAGGGGGGAGAGCACACACCCCTGGGGGCGCCAGTGCTGATAGTCCGGGTGCTGGATGTGATGTTTCCCAGCCTCACCTGCTGACTCCTGTCAGTCAGGAAGTCTATGATCCACTGACAGGAGGAGGTTGGCACAGTGAGCTGGGTGAGTGTGGTGCTGAGGATGTCCGGGATGATGGTGTTGAACGCAGAGCTGAAGTCCACGAACAGGATCCTTGCATATGTCCCTGGAGAGTCGAGGTGTTGCAGGATGTGATGCAGACCCAAGTTGACAGCATCATCCACTGACCTGTTAGCCCTGTAGGAAAACTGCAGGGGGTCCAGCAGGGGGCCTGTGATGTCCTTCAGGTGGGCCAACACCAGTCTTTCCAGCTGGTCCGCACAGATTTTCAGGCAAGATGGAGACACACCGTCGGGGCCAGGAGCCTTCCTGATCTTCTGCCTTTGGAAGAGGTGGCTCACGTCCTCTTCACAGATCTTGAGTGCAGGTGAGAGGTCAGAGGGGGAAGGTAACTGTTTGAAGATGACGTTGGAGCGGGGGAGAGGTGTGACTGTGGGCTTTTCAAACCTACAGTAGAAACCATTCAGCTCGTCTGCCAGTCGTTGAGTACCAGCAGTGTTGGGGGATGGTCTCTTGTAGTTTGTGAGTGTCCGTAGGCATCTCCACACTGACGCAGGGTCGCAGGCTGCAAAGCTGTTATTTAGCTTTTCAGCATAGCTCCTCTTTGCAGCTTTGACCTCTTTAGTCAGCGTGTTCCTGGCCTGGTAGTACAGGACTCTGTCCCCACTTCTGAAGGCCTCCTCCTTGGTCTGACGAAGCTGCCTGAGTTTCGCTGTGAAACAGGGTTTTTGGTTGTTGTATGTGCGAAAGGTTTTAGTCGGCAAATACATGTCCTCACAAAAACTGATGTAAGATGTCACAGTGTCAATTAGTTCGTTCTTGTCAGTGGCTGCAGACTCAAAAACACTCCAGTCAGTATAGTCAAAGCAGGCCTGTAACTCCAGCTTTGACTCGTTGGTCCATCTTTTCACAGTCTTTACAACAGGTTTGGCAGATTTCCGTTTTTGCCTGTGTGTCGGGATAAGATGAATCAGACAGTGATCAGAGAGTCCCAAGGCTGCACGGGGAACAGAGTGATATTATGTAGTGTAGCAGTGGTCCAGTGTGTTCGTGTCCCTGGTGGGACACTTAATATGCTGTCTGTACTTTGGAAGTTCATGACTGAGGTTTGCTTTGTTAAAGACCCCAAGAACAATGAGCAGGGAGTCTGGATGTTTCTTCTCCACGTTAGTTATCTGGTCGGCCAGGTGTAGTAACGCCTCACTAACACAGGCCTGAGGTGGAATGTAAACGGCAACCAGAACAAACGAGGAAAACTCCCGCAGTGAATAAAACGGTTTACAGTTTATAAATAATGTCTCTAGGTGAGGCCTGCATGATTTCTTCAACACTGTGACATCTGTCCACCAACCTTCGTTTATATAGAAACAGGGTCCGCCTCCCCGTGTTTTTCCCGTGAGCTCCCTTTCACGATCCGCGCGGATGAGATTAAATCCCGGTAGATGAAGTGCGCTGTCTGGGATGCGCTCGGTGAGCCAGGATTCGGTGAAACAGAGGGCAGCAGATCTGCAGAAGTCCGAGTTAGTTCTGTTGAGGAGAAGCAGTTCGCAATTTTGGTGGCCAGAGAGCGGACATCAGCCAGGTGAATTGAAGGGAGCGCAGTGCGAAATCCCCGCTGTCTCAGTTTAACCAGTTTATGTTTTCCCCTGCGTCGTTTCCAAAGGATCCCAAACAGATCTGCCGCCCCTCCAACTAGTAACTCCGGGATAGTTCCAGGGTCAATAAAGAGCGGTGGAATAGTATGAGCAGTTGAAAGTCTAATGTTTAAGAGCTCTTCTCTGGTAAAAGTTACCAGGCGACCATCTGCAGCGCCATCTTGGTTGTAAATCTTTGTAAATTTTTACACTGTTGGCAGAGCAGCTTCACAGAGATGTTGAAGTGCCCTCCTGGAGAGCATATTGAGCGTAGCCTTGCAAAAGAAATACACACTTCAGACACTGTGTACCTTCGTACGTTCTGCCTACAGTTGGAAACCTGCATTAAGAACCAAGTAGTCTCAATTACACATTGTACCTTTTTAAGTAGAGGTTTAACCAGCTAGTGCAGTCAGCTATAAACAGTGTTGGGCAAGTTACTTAGAAATTGTAATATATTACAAGTTACTTATTCCTCCTTAAAAAAGTAATATTATTACTTTACTTATTACTGGGTGATAAAAGTAACTAGTTACGTTACTCGTTACGTTACTATATTACTTTCCAGTATTTCCTACAGGATGACAGTGCTGGGGGTAATTCTTTAGACAGGTAGCAAGCGGAGGTGCTGCACGAATACATGCTCCTCAGTGCAGCTCCTCAATCAAATATGATTTTAAATACGCCTAGTAAAAAAATTAGAAAATCAATATGTGGCGGTCAGCGTTGATAATTATCCAAATTACAGGCTAATTATGGGAAACACTGCTTTCACTACCACCCCCAAACAAAGCTGTCTCTTTGTACATGTAGCCTATTCAGTAGTTACAAAACGATACGTTAATGCCACTCTCTCCAGACGAGTCCAAGCATCAGTGACAGCAGTTGCCGGAGTTTCTTTCTGTAAGTTTCACGTTGCTGTGCTGCTTCTGCGGATGCTTCAGTAAATCAGATGCAGAAACGTTAGCGTTTGAAAGCTTTTTGCTGGTTGCACAGAGTTTACAATAGACGACAATGTTCTTTGCATCTTAGACTGTGCCACAATAATGGCAGTAGCTACTTACAGCTGTGGAAAGAACACCTCACTCCCTCCTTCTACATTCTTCCTTTAGTTTTGGCTATCAGCGGACATGAACAACAGAAGGTCTGGTGCCGCTGACCTGCCGTACAGTCGTGGATTTACATCAAGTATGGTGCGTTCAGTAACGAATAACACAGCGTTACTTGCATTAGTAGGCTAACAGTAATAATATTACTGTTTTCGAAAAGTAATTAGTTACACTACTAGTTACTGGGAAAAGTAATATTATTATACGTGTTACTGCCCAACACTGGTTATAAATTAACCATAATCCGCATTGTAGGTCCCAGAAATGGCCAGAGAGCTTTAAAAGGTTAAACTAGTAGGTGGTTGAGGAGGCAGGTTGTATAGAAACACCAGTTTCAACAGAGACTCACTGGCATTCAACATAATGTTGCACTTGTGATTCTGCCAAAGTAGCTGGAGATGAGGAAGTCATTTTGTATCTAATATAATCTCGTTTTTGAGTAAGTTTGTCTACGGTGTCAAAATGAAATCTAGGGTTACTGATTAAGCGAGAGAAATACGCTGCTTTAGCAGTGGACAAAGCATGCTTATAATTCAATACAGGCTCGTGCAATGAGGGGTAGTAATGTTTTGAGTTACACCATTTGCGTTTCAATCTCCTGCAAGCAGAGTTCGAATTATACAGTGACAACCAGGGGGTCAACTTTTTTTCCAGGTCCAAAAGAAAACCCAGTACAGCGGAGATGCAGGCTTCAGCGAACTAAAATCTTACAATGCTTACAGTATCCTTGCTTATTTAACTAATGTCATCAGTCATTAGGTGGATGATGATAAATCAGATTCATTACACCAGTTCATGGGCGCCCCATACCACATGACAATTTTTTTAAGTCAGAGGTCACCAAGTATTCTAGAGCAAAACTGCCAGCAAGTCAGACACACAACAGCAGACCGTCATGACCGCTCAAAACAGACCCACACAGTGTTGATACAGAACTAAAGACACATAAAATACAGTCTGCA